TGTTTGTGAGAAGGAAGGAGAAAAGGAGCAGGTTTCTTTCCCACTGAAATACATTTTATGGAATATCTGTTTGTGAGAAGGAAGGAGAAAAGGAGCAGGTTTCTTTCCCACTGAATCACAATTTATTTTCTTTGAGCCACTTTTAATTGGCTCATTCTGTCAAGGCAGCAAATGGAACAGCAGGATGAAAATCTCCATAAGAGAGTTCATCCAGTGGATACTCTTCACCATCACCAACCCTCTTTATTTATGGGGAACCTCTCTTCCCCTGTGCACTTCTGCTCTCCCTCATGTAAATATTCACAGCAGTTCTTGGGTAGCAGATTTTGGGCCAACAAAAGGAAGTGCTTTTCCCAACGAGTGACTTGGGGAATTCGTTGCTACAGGAAACTGTGGAGACGAAAGTATAAATGGCCTCAAAAAAGAAGATTTGAGAGGACAAGGCCAACAGCAGCCTGGCTGCTGCCTCCAGCTCAGGAAATCCCAGTCAGGGCTGCAAGGTGGGGTGGACAAGGGAAGAATCTCCAGCTGTGTTTGGAACCAGACTGGTTTGGACTGGTTTTTAAGCATCTGAGTCTGGGTTTTCTGGGGACTTAAGCTTAGGTGAGCCACAGCTGGGCTCAGCATAACCCTTCTTGTGTGCTCTCCCTCCCAGCCTCTTCCAGCTGGGAAGATGATGAGGAACAGGGCTGCATCATCAGGTTGTTCCAGGGGCAACAGCAGGGCCAGACCTCTCTCCATGGACCTCTGGCTTTTCCACCACCTGGTCATGGTGGCCATGGGATGTTCCCCAGAGGCCTGAAATGAGATGAGGGATGGGCAGCTCTTGGTTAGTGGTCTCTGGACAAGGTCCCACAGGAGAAGCCAACAGTAAATCAGTATATTTTATAGAAGGTGAAGCAGTTTGGCTGTTAAAGGTCTGGCCAAGCAGCTGAAGGGGAGGAGCAGGTCTCACCACGAGCACTGGAGGTGCAGAGGACACATCAAAGGAATGAGATGTTTTCCCCGATTTTTCAAATAGCAGAAATTTCTGTGGAAGGAAAAAAAGCTAGGAAAAAAAATATTAAAAATACCAACACTGATTGTTGAAAATGTGAAAATTTCTCCTCTTTTTTGAGAGTGGGAGAAATAACCCCTGAACCTCTTTGAAGGCTGAAGTGGGGAAGCTACGGGAGATTGTTTTCTTTGAGTTGTTGTTCTTTTTCTTCTTCAGTCTATGGTTTCTGTTTCAACAGTTACCAGGACCTAAAGAGCATGTGATGAAATGCTGCTGTAATATGTTTGTAATTCCAGCCTATGTAAACCAATAAAAAGAGGATTGCAGCTTATAATGAATATACGATTATGTGAAACTTGACATATTTTGAATCACACAGTAGGAACATACTTTTATTAGTAATTTGGTGTCCCTGATTTACAGTGTGTTTCTAACCATTGGGCAGCTGGCCATGGCTCATAACTCAGCCCAGTGCATAATATGGGATTTGGCTGGAGAATCCAGAAATCTATTAAATGTAGGTAACAATTATAAGCACAGAATTCCTTGGGTTTGGAGCATCTGTCCCTGGAAGCATCGGGGGAGAAGGTGGAGGCTGCATGTTTCCAAACTTTCAGGTTTTTGGGTTGGAGGAAGATAGACCAAAGTTTGAAAAATTTAAAAGGGTGTTGGGAGCTGGACAGCTTTTATGGGCAGATTTAGGTGGTTCTGTGTTCCTTGTGGGAAGCAGCTCTTGGGGGCAGGGAGTGTCACTGGCAGCTCCTGGAGGACTTGGTGGTGGTGTTTTCATGGCCTGGAGTTTGCCATCCCTGCTGCTCTGTCACAGAGGGAGTGCACATGACCTGCCTCTGATCCAGACCCACCCATTCCTGTGGGAATCATCTGTTTGGACCATGGTCCCTCCTGGGACTGGCCCAGCTGCAGGTGATGGAGGGAAGGACGTGGAATTTGAAGCTTTCTCTGTGCTTTGCTGCTGCACAGGGAAAAGGCTGCTGGGCCCAGAGGTTCTCTGGGACTTGACCCATCAGGATCCAACTGTGCCACCAGGCCAGGGACTCGTGTCCCACGGTGACTCTCATGAACCAGTGTTTGTAAATTTGATATTAGAGAGAAATTCTTCCTTGTGAGGGTGCTGAGGCCCTGGCACAGGTTGTTCAGAGAAGCTGTGGCTGTCCCATCCCTGGATGTGCCTAAAACCAGGTTGGACATGGCTTGGAGCAACCTGGGCTAGTGGAAGGTGTCCCTAAGGGAGCAAGATGAGCTTTAAGATCCCTTCCAACCCACACCATCCCATGATTCTCTGATTTTACACGACTTCAGACAAATAACAATATCCTGTTGTATTCCACAGCATTACCAAGGAGAGGACAGAAGTCATCCTTCAGGGGACATCCAGCCTGGATCCCAATGACCCCACTGCTGTGTGGGAGGAGTTTGACTTCAAGTGCAAGCCTGGGGACTTGAAGAGGAGGCCGTGCTTCATCTCCCCCTACCACTACCGCCTGGACTGGCTCATGTGGTTTGCTGCCTTCCAGGTACCTGCCCTTGGGTGCTTGGAGACCTGGGTCTTCCTTGACCAGGAAAAACAATTAACAAGGATTTACTCTGTGTTGGGAACACTGGAAGCCTCAGCTGAGTTAGTTGTATTCCTAAAGGATGTCTGCTACTGGTGTGATGAAACTCTTGGCAGTTTTCTGGGAGGTTTTTTAATTGTTTCTTGGCAATAGCGAGGATCGGTGTTGGGGACACCCCTGGGGACACCAGCCCCCACTGCCCACCTGCCTACACATGGGTAAAGGGTCCCTCAAAATGGTTTCCCCACGTGGTATCAGCAAACAGGTGACAGCCATAAATTAAGTAAGAGGGTGGGAAACTTGTAATATTAATTCTCGTGGATCTTCGAGCTGATTTTGCAAATCTTGCCCGCGTGACACGAGAGCTTGGACTGGGTTTTGCAAAACTGAGGCTTGAGTGGCATGAAGCAAACCCATCTCAGATTATCTCTTTGTTCCTGCATCCTCTCCTGGAATATCCTCTTCCCTCTGCCCCAAACTCCTCTGTTTGCTTCCTTTGTGGTATTTTCGTTTCGGCGCAGTTGGGATTCCTGGGCGATGACATAACTCTGGTGCTCTGGCCATGCTTGGGTATTTACCCCGCTGGTTTGAGTGTGCTGGAATTTCATTTAATCTGCATTAGGTATGCTTATCCCTCAGGAAAACCACAGCCAAGCTTCCAACTCCAGCCTGGCATTCCGGAAAGGTGCAGAGGGCAGGTGGGAGCCGGTGGTTTAAACCTGTGTTTTGGGAGGGCTCTGAGCGGAGGAGAAATCAACTCATCCCAGCAAAGGTTGTTTCTGAGATGAGAGAAAGGCTGTTTCCAGGGTAGGAATGTCCTGAAGGTTTTAGAATAGAAAGGGATCTGAGGTTTGAAGCTGAAGGAGGGCTGGGCACGGGTCCTGCTCAGGGATGCCAAGGGATGCCGCTGCATCCCAGTTCCATCTCTCCACAGGGCCAGACCAGGTATTGGTGTACCAAGGAAAGAGGAGGAAGAGGAAATAACTCAGCCTCTTCACATCTTTATTATTCGTGTTTAATTCCTTATTAGTGTTTAGTTCCTAATTATTAGTGTTTGATTCACTGAAAGGTTCCCCCGGGTGTTTCTGTTCACCTGGACACCGGGGGTTGCTGGAGCCTGTTGAAGTGTGTCCACAGCAGCTAATTAGCAGCAATTAGCGTTATGGGTCTCCTTGCACTGGCAGGAGGAGGGGACATCCCTCCCATAGGGTGGGTCTGTCAGCCCTGGAGTCCATCCATCACCTCCCACTATGGCAACACCATCTGGAAATGGGTGTGTTGCCCCTTCCCAGCCATCCCAGCGTGTGCTTCCTGCAGTGCTCCCATGTCCCTCTTGCCCCTGGGGACTTTCCCGGGGGCCCTCAGTGCACACAGGTCTCTGTGAAGCAGTTTCAGATCCTGCTGAGAAGGAGTATTAACAAAAGGTGCAGAAAGGAGAAAAAAACCTTCTGGAAAGCGGAGGTGACTTGTGGAAAACAGTGGGAAGGCACCTGGGCATGGCAGTGAGTGTTTTCAGCTCTGGATGTTCAGGCATGTAAATACCTGCTTAAGCATGGAAGTAAATCCCATTTGGAATGGCCGAGTTTGAACACTGGGAGCTGTATATTTGGTGCCAGCTCCTCCCTGGGCAGCCAGAAAAGTCCCTGTCCTTGGAGCGTTGTTTTGCCTCGAGTCCTGCAGGGCTGTGGAAAGGATGGGGGACCAGAAGTTGAAAGCCCAGAAGTTTGTGCAGCCAGACCAGTTTTTCAAAACCCGCGTGGTAGTTTACAGAGTCCATAAAACCGAGTTACTTCAGCCTCTGGATTAGATTTAATTTGTTTTCAGAAGCTCTGGACTGTTTCTCCACCACCGCTCGCCGTCTGCCCCGTCGCTCCGAGCGGGCGGCCCCGGGGCTGGTTTTGCAGTTCGTTGGCAGTGGCCAGGTAAGGAGCTGACATATCCAGCTCTGACAGGCTGTGGAAAAGCCAAGGACTTGGGGGAAGGATATTTACCATCCCTTTGTGCTGCTCCTGACAGGTTCCTCTTTGCACCTCATCACCGCTTGACATACGACGCCGTCCCGCGCTCGGGGTTTCCTGCAAAACTTTCCACCTTGGCTGTAGTTGTGGGATTCACTTTGAAGCTCTGGAGCACAGGGAATCAGGCCCTTGGCACAAGGAGGGGGAACCAGGCCCTTGGCACAAGGAGGGGGAGCCAGGCCCTTGGCACAGGGAGGGTGTGACCACCAGCACAGCCCTGGTGGGGACCAGTGGTGCTGCTCCGCCTCTGAATCACAATTTATTACTTGCTGCCTCTTAATCACCGTGCCAGCAATGCCATAATTACATGTATTACATGGCATTATTTTCCAGGAAACAATTTTCATGATGTTAATTTTATTATCTAAATATAATGTGCCTTTTCACTTGTTTTCTAAATTCCTTCTTTGTTCCGCGTGTCTCGCCATCCCAAGGGTGCTGCAGCTCTGAACTGAAGCCCTTCATTTCGTTCTGGCAGAGACAGAACCCATCCAGAAACATGTCTGAGTTGCTTCTTCCCGTCTGCAGAAGGGGAAAACCCCCCAGGAATGTGTGGAAATCTGTGGGACCCTTTTTCAGTTGTTTCTCAGCACTGCCTCGGCTGCGCCTGCTGATCCCCCAGGCACTGGGGGCAGAGGGGGCTGGGGGGGCTCCCAGCAAAACTAACGTGTCCCTCAGCCAGGAGCTGATGTTCAGGGGCTTGTTGGTCACCCAGGACCACTCTCCTCCATCAAAGCAATTTAAACCAAGGGCTGAGTCAACTTAATGCATGTTTTTAAGAGGAACCACTGCCCGTGGCAGGGGGTGGGACTGGATGGGCTTTAAGGTCCCTTCCAACCCAAACCATTCTGGGATACTGTGAGTTTAATTGAAAGGAATGGCACATTTGCAGATGCCACCAGGCCGTGAGCCCTGGGGAGAATTATCAAATCCCTGAATGGTTTGGGTTGGAAGGGACCTTAAAGCCCATCCAGTCCCACCCCTGCCATGGGCAGGGACACCTTCCACTAGCCCAGCTTGCTCCAAGCCCCATCCAGCCTGGCCTTGGACACTTCCAGGGATCCAGAGGCAGCCACAGCTTCTCTGGGCAACCTGTGCCAGGGCCTCACCCCCTCACAGAGAGTAAATAATGGATGAAATGGCAGAATCTGATTTAATCTCTCAAAATTCAGGTTAAGCACTAGGAATAACTTTCCCCCCTTGACAGTTCCCTGTGTTAGTGCAAAGACATCCTGTTTTTACAGAAGCTGGAGACAAATTGTTAAAGCTTTGTCTATCCTCCAGCTACTGATGCCAACCCTCCTGTAATTATTTGACTTCTCCTTTTTGGTGGCATTTTAGGAGGAGCTCAGCCATCACAACCCAGCACTGAGCTGGGCTGTGCTGCTGGCACAGAAATACAATTTCTGGCAGGCTGTGGGTGGAATCAGATTGCTGATAAATAACAAACCAGAAAACAAAATACTGCTCATAGTTTTGGGGCTTCAAGTTGGTCAGTTTTGCTGGTAGTGGGAAGTCTGGGACTTCACAAAAGCCAGTTGTTTATCATCCCAAGGGCTTGCTCTCCACCAGTGGCAGCAGTGGAAAAGCCTTCAGTGCTCTGAGTAAGGAAAAATCAAAGGGAAGGCTTTTCCTCTCCTTACTATGGCATGAAGGGTATTTATTCTGTTTGGGGGCTGCATTTGGCCAATGCAAAGGCACCCTCTTGCTGCTTCCCAAATAACAACTGCTCAAGAATAACAAAGCTGTTGCTGTCTTCATATTGGTTTTAAAGCTCAGGGTCTTGCTGGATTGTACCTTGGGGCTGCTCCAAAAGTCTTTTGGGATGCTCTGAGAAGCAATGTGTGTTTTCCAGATATGAGGGAACCTCCAGCAGCAGGATTGATGCTCTGAGGTTCTCCCCTGGGTCAGAGAGTCATGCTGGAGACTTCACGTTATCACGCACGAGCTGGAAGAGCCGAGCAGAGGTAACACCATTTATAGAGGAGGCAGATTAATGTCTTTGTGAAATGTTTTATTCAGGCCTCTGTTATCTCGCTCTCCCAGCCAGGAGGTGCTTCAGGAAAAAGCTGCACGGCAGCAGAATGGAGGAGGAGGTGTTTGTAGAGCAATAAAACCTCAGCCTCGTGCTCGCTGTACCAAGCTCAGCTTTTTACATTTCCTTTCTTCCCCCTTCTACAAACACAGGCCTCAGCTCACTTCCATTTTCCATTGCAGCATTTTGGTCCGTGCTCAGCTTGGAAGGATTTTATTTTCTCCTTTCACCTGTGTTTAGTTGTCTCCCTGTGAACGTGAACAATTCCCAAGCCCCGAGCTCCCGGCTGGCTCAGGGGAGGACTCACCTCCAGCAGCACCATTGCCATGGAAGAGCCCAGGATCCCAAACCAGCCCCATATCCTATCATGCCATGGGCTGTATAAATAGAGTCAGACCTTGTCCATGCAGGGAATGATTATTGTCTACAGTGGCCCTTGTACCTGCCTGTCTAGACTGTGTTCTGGAACAAAGTGACTTTTCTTTCCCGATGCAGAGGTGATACGGGAGCTGTGCCAGCTGTGCTGTTTCCCTGGATAGGTGGGATCTAAGAGCCGATTCCCAAAGTCTTGCTCTGCTCTCTTATGCAGCCTTTTATTCCTGCCTCCTTCAGGGAGCAGCTGCTTTCCCAAGGATTTTCTGGTAGGATGGAGGAAGGGATGGATTTTAGTGAGTAACTGCCCCTGCTGAGATCCTGTACCTTAGGCCAGACCTGTGGAGACACAGCTTGTCTCTTTGGGAATCTAATACAGAGGAAGAGATGAAATTAGGAAGAAATTCTTCCCTGTGAGGGTGGGGAGGCCCTGGCACAGGTTGTCCAGAGAAGCTGGGGCTGCCCCTGGATCCCTGGAAGTGTCCAAGGCCAGGTTGGAGCAACCTGGGCTACTGGAAGGTGTCCCTGCCCATGGCAGAGGTGGGACTGGATGGGCTTTAAGGTCCCTTCCAACCCAAACCATTCAGGGGTTCTCTGTGGTTATTTGA